AATATCTATACAATTTATCACAGCCAAGGCGGCAAATGCATTTACTGAAAATAAAGTTTTATTAAATAAAGGATATAAAATTTATATACCATTTAATTTTGTTACATCGAAGGGTTTAGCAAGAAGGATTGATTTAGACATTTCAGAGGAAGAATTACTAGAGGCTTGTTTTGCTAATGACAATATTAAAATACTAGGTGTTAGAAGACTGAGTAGGAAAGTCATTAGCAACAACACAGCTTCTTATGAACCAACAGGTAGTGTACTATTTACTTTCCAGGGAGTAAGAATCCCAACGTCAATCAAACTATATCATTTAGATTTCCCCATATCTATTTACATTCCCCCGGTTACCCAATGCTTCCGCTGCCTTCGCTACGGGCATACAAAAAATAACTGCAAAGGTAAAGAGAAATGTATAAATTGTTCTAAAGAAACACACGGAGAGGTGACACCAAACTTTACATGTGAAACGTGCTGTTTCTATTGTAAAGAAAACCATAGAGCAACAGCTAAAATTTGCCCAGAATATGTTAGACAGAAAAACATAAAAGAACTTATGGCACTGGAAAATCTAACTTTTTTCGAGGCCAATGATAACTGCAGAAAAACGTATATTTCAAAGGGAGACTTTATTTACAATCCCAGTAATTTTCCGGCACTAAAATCTAACAAAAGCAATCTAAACTTCACCCAAAGAGCAAATGAATCAGTTATCGAAACCGATCAGAGGCGAACTAAAGCCTTTAAAAACAATACAACCAAAAGAACATACCAACAAACCATATCTACAGACCCCAACAAAAAAAGATTCATACAATCAAGTTATGACAAAAAAGCCCATGAGGATTGCCTATACTACCCCAACTCAAGAGAGAAAAATATTTCAGGACCTCTAACTAATTCACAAGGATATTCCCAATATAGACCTGCCAACGACTCTCAAAACTTTTCCCAATTTAAACCCTCTCAAAAGCCTAGTACTAGTGCCGCTTCAAATTTTAATAACAAAAAAGTTAACATCTCAATGATCTTGGATTTTCTTAAAAATACCTCAGAACATAACAAAAGTATGTGCAGAGACCTGCTGCTATCGGGGACGGATCCAGGTTCCTTCATGGACCAGGATCAGGATACAAACTCTGATTAACCTAATCCGCTTTTGCCACCAAGGACCTCCAATGTTAAACTGCAAACGTTTTTTCTTTCCCAACTAATTATGAATAATAAAACAAACTTAAAAATAATTCAGTGGAACGTACGCAGTGTAAACTCAAACAAAGACAACCTGGTCAACTTGGTGACAGAAGAAAACCCAGATATCATTTTACTTAACGAAACATGGCTGAAAACTAATCAAAATTTTTCACTGAAAACATACAACATAGTCAGACATGATAGAGCAGATGGATATGGAGGAGTGGCAACCTGCATAAAAAACAATATAATTTTCACCACAAATAAAAAATTCACCTCAGACTCAATTCAATACATAAACACTAAAATCGGGGACCTATATATTTTCAATATATATAGCAAATCGAATACAGCAATTAGTCCTGAATTTCTGGAGTACCTAACCAATAATATACTGGACAAAAAAATAATAATAATGGGAGACCTTAACTCTCACCACCCACTGTGGGACGAAGTTTCTATAAATAAAGGTGGACAAAATATTAACGATTTTCTATTGAAAAATGATTTTATCGTTTTGAATGATGGCTCTAACACCTTGCTTCAAAGCACGAACAAAAAAACAAGTGCAGTCGATTTAACAATAGTTAGCAGTCAGCTGGCACTAAATTCAAAATGGAGTGTTATCAAGGACTGTGGGAACAGCAACCACTTTCCGGTATCTTTAATATACGAAACATATAACAAGCAGTACTTCAAAGCCAATCTCATAAACACCTACTATATCAGAAACAGCAAAAAAGCCGATTGGGGGCAATACTATGAAAGCATTCTAAAACACCTACATGCTAAAAATGATATTTTAAATTATGATGACCTAATGGATACAATTAACTTGGCAGCAGCCGAAACCATTCCCTACAAAAGATGTGGTAGCAATGGAAAGGTGGGGAACCCATGGTGGGATGAGGAGTGCACCAACTGGATTCAGGAAAGGAAAGAGTGTATAGCCAATTTCAACAGAAACCCGAGCATGGAAAACTACATAGAAGTGAAGCGAGTTACTGCCTATACTAGACTAAAAATGAAAACTAAAAAGAAAGAAAAATTCTTGGATTTTTGCCACACCTTAAACAGATCTTCCAGTATTTCTTATATATGGAATAAAATCAGGAAATTTTCTTATAACAATAACAACAAACCAAAAGATTTCATAATAAACGATAACATCAAAACAGCAATACTCAACAACATGGCCAAGATAGATATCGACCCATCATTTCAAATGCAGCAACAAGACAGAGATAATAATATCAAACCGTTTAACATCTTGGAATTTAACAACGCCTTAATCAACAAAAAGCTATCAGCGGCCGGTATGGATGACATATCCTATGCTATGATTAAGCATCTACCCCCTACTGCTAAACAACATCTGCTTAATTTATATAACGACATACTAACAGGAAAAACTCCTTTACCGGACTCCTGGAAAAAATATAATGTTATTGCATTTCCAAAACCTAACAAAGACCCTACTATACCTCAGAACTACAGACCTATCGTGCTAGCGTCTTGTGGTTGTAAGATACTGGAGATAATGATTCGTAACCGACTCGACTGGTACCTCGAACACCAACAATTTTTCACTAATTTTCAGCTAGGGTTTAGAAAAGGCAAAGGGCTGGACGACAATGCAGCCTACCTATCATCTTTTATTTTCAATGGGTTCCTGTCATCTAATACTGTATTAGCAGTATTCTTAGATATAAAAGCAGCATATGACAATGTCAATATCTATAAACTCTACGATAAGCTTCATGCTATTGACACCCCAATCGAAATAAACAATATTATACACAGAATTCTGAGCAATAGAACGCTTTACTCCAGAGGTGACGACGGCACGTTCTTGGATCCAGTCTTGACCACAACGGGCCTACCTCAGGGATCGCCAATGAGTACCCTTCTGTTCAACATATACGTGGGGGATATATACAAACTGAAACTGGGGAACGTCAAATTATTAGGGTACGCGGACGACTTGGTACTGCTGGTGAGTGGCAACAGCGTCAATCTTATGGTTGAGGAAATGCACAAAGCTCTGGAGGACGTTAATGGATGGCTAAAAAACAATGACCTATCGCTATCCTTGGACAAATGTGAGGCGGTTCTCTTCTCCAAAGGCAGAAGAAAAAACACACCCCCAGATATCACAGTGGAGGGCAATAAAATAAATTATAAAGATTCGGCGAAATACCTGGGCATTTATTTTCACAAAAATCTTAAATGGGACATTCACATAGACAACATTGTCACTAAAGCAAGAAAAGCGCTTAATGTACTAAAAGCTATATGCAGGGTTTGGTGGGGAGCAGACCCTACTACCCTATTAATGATTTTTCAGGCCTTGGTAGTCTCCCACCTGGACTTTGGTTCTACACTTATAAGACCAGCTAACCAATCCTCCTTAAATAAACTCAACATAGTGTTCTATGAGGGACTCCGTATATGCCTGGGATGCATGAGATCCACACCAAGGGCAGCCTTACTGGCTGAAGCGGCTATCTGCGATCTAGAACAGAGAAGAAAAAACCTAACATTGAACTATATTGCTAAAATTATCAGCGTTAAAAATCACCCAACTATGAAAATTTTACTGGATAGTCGCAGCACTATTTTTAATAGAACAGGGTATGTAAACAACTCCAAAGTTACCTACATGATAGAACTACTCCAAGAATTCCTACCCTATTTCAAAAGAACATACAACTCAAACAATATTCCGTGCTATGAACTAGACTATGAAATCCTTATTAGTCCAATAAAAACAATAAACACCAAACTGAACAAAGGAGAAGAAATGATCAAAGAAAAATTCAAACTATTTATTGAAAGGTACATTCCACTATATACCCTAGTTTACACAGATGCCTCTAAAAATAATGACCGAGTAGGGTTTGGTATTACAATACCACAACTGGAATATAAATTCGCATGTAGACTGCACGATATGTATTGAGTATATGCAAGGCAGAAATGATTGCTATCCATGAAGCAATTCAAACATTAATTAAAAAGAAAATAAAACAGGCTATAATATTCTCCGACTCAAAAAGCGCTATACAAAAAATTAACTCTAATCTTTACAACGCCAAAGCTGACTACTGGACCTTGAAAACCAAAATGTCTATAATAACGAGATAAAACGGTTTATGGTGTGTTTATAGAAGCGTTTTATAGTGAAACGTTTTGTGCTGAAACGGTTTAGCGGGAAGCATAAACATGGTAACTGATGGTGAAATAAAACGAAAAATATTAAGGGAAAATCTAGAAATCTGAGAAAAAAGAAATTACAAAGAAAAAATCGACTCGCCTGATCAGTAAGATAAAAAAAAAGAAGAAATGGAACATGTTAAGAAATTGATAAATTTATCGTAGCAGCACCGAACATCTCTGGTGAGCTTTATAAAATCTTCCCTACGGCAAGCGCTTGATATAGTTACCTATTGAGAATTGGTGAAACTTTTATTGTTTGGTAGACGTTGTCGAAGAAGTAGTTTTATATTTCCTCAATTCGCACACGCTTGTAACAAAATATTTCCAAGAAAATAATAAAATATAGTTATTTTCCTAACAAGTGCGGAAAGTGATACTTTCCCGCACGCGACTGCCGTTGACGTTATTGTGTCAATAATTCTCAATGCTGATATTTGTGTAAAAGTGTGTCAGCTCATAATTTAAAAATTGACATCTGTCACTTTTCCGCACTAGTGCGGAAAAGTGAAACTTTCCAAACTAAAATGCGTGCGGAAAAGTGTACTTTTCCGCACGCTCGTAGAAAAAAACATTTTTCTTTTCAGCAAACGTAAACGTAATGTGCTACCTTTCCATTTACCTCACAACAAATTAGCTTTGGATCGATTGGATCAGAAACGCGAAGACTGTGAACCACTGGTAAAATGGAATTTTATTTAATTTATCACTTTTTGATCAGGGACTTTCTATTTTAGACAGGCCTTAAACAAAGGCAGGACGATTTTTACAAGAAAAAACTCAAATTACCGCCGATTCAATTAACGGATTCGGTAAAGCAAGGTAAATCAATAATGATTTCAGAAACTAGGCTAACTTGATTTTTTCTTCTGTAGAAAGGCGAACACGTTCTATCGCAGCAAGTATATCAACCGGAGTGACATTTTTCGATAACATTGAAGAGAAAAAGTAAGAAGTTTTTAGCAATTTTACATTTTGCAAAATATTATTATTGTTTTATAGGAAAAAGCCTTCAGCGAGTGATAAACTAGCTCAAGTGGCCGATCAAATGGAATGGATTAGAAAAATGAGGCATGCTAGGGATGGATCATTCATTTATTTCACATATGCCGTGCCTAAAAGTTCCGAGCATTTCAACCCTTATATGCTTAAGTAACTACTTTACTATTTCGAACCTAGTTATTTTTTAGGATTGTGTTCAGGGAATATTAGTGGAGTTTAAAAATGATATTATCGTGTCATTCAAAAAATCGTCGAGTGCAGGGAGTAGTTTTCCAAAAAATTGCAAAAAATTTTTTTTGCATAATTTAAATCTACACTACGTGTTCAATCATTTGAAAAAGTTTTATTTGGAAATTCCGAGAAGTATTTTATTTTGAATTTTAAAATGTTTGTGCAACACACACTTATATGGAGTTCCTTAATGGCCGCCTTCACCAGATACAAACGTTGGTAAACGGTTTGCGATTGTTCTGCTGAACGCTACGTTGAATTTGTGTTGAAACCGAACATGTTTTGCAAACGGTCGCCATTTTTGCAAGCATAATTTCGGAGTGTTTATAATTTTCAACACTGTGTTTTGTGTGGTGACCTGTCATTCAGAAGGTGACGTTCTATCATTGAAAAGTTGAATCGTTCTGCAGAACCAAGAGTTTATCCAACATATTCTGTTGGTATCTGTAAACTGTTTACAATCCGTTTTGGTTCTGGTGAACGTAGCCAATGTAAAACAGCTCGCACTGAAACATCAAAATTGCAACATCATTCACACATAGATAACTCAAAAATGCTTATTCTAATAAAAAAAAACACTTTCTATAAACGCTGTAAATCAAAGATCATGGATTAAAATGCTTTTATAATCAAAAATCCGATAAGTCGTTTTGTCAAAAATCTGTAAAATGTAAAAGCATGTCGTGGCTACAGTGACTCTATTACCACAGTGGCGACAATTGCTGTCTTATTTCTGATTGGTTCTAAAATCCCATATATTTATATTGAAAATGCCGCCATCTTGTTCCCAACCTCTTGTTACTTTTAAATATGAATATATGAGATTTAGGTGAACATCCATCATAAATCATGGAAAACAACGTATTTGATGGACCTAATAATGGTCAACATATACGTCGATTTCAATTTTTTATGATAGATGTCCCTTTAAATCCTATATATTAATATTTAAAAGTTATAGGACGTTGGGAACAAGATGGCGGCGGGACCTCTATTGTCGCCACTGTATGTAAAGGTTTATTTAGCCACTGTAGTCGTGGCGATCGCTCTCGGACGCGGAGATGCGAGGATGATTGAAATTCCCTTGGCACGCTATTGATTCTGTGTGGTGCACGGTCCATATGTATTTTCAGACCTAGATGGTCGCTTTTCGTTTGCGCTCTATTATAAATTATTTTCCATGACCACCTACAATAAAAATCTTCTTCTTTTTTTGTTTGATATTGTTGAAATAATTTTCTATGGCCATCTACGTTGGAAATCTTCTTTTTTGTTAAAGTTTGACATTTCCAAGGCCACCTACGATGAAATTGGACAGCTACTTCAAATACGACGTTTTTTGTCATCATTTTCCATGGCCACCTACGATAGAAATATTCTTCTTTTTTTGTTTGATATTGTTGAGATAATTTTCCATGGTCACCTACGTTGGAAATCTTCGTTTTTGTTAAAGTTTGACATTTCCTAGGCCACCTATGTTGTCATTTGACAGCTACTTTAAATAAGGCGCTTTTTGTCATCCTTTTCCATGGCCACCTATAATAAAAATATTCTTCTTTTTTTGTTTGATATTGTTGAGATAATTTTCCATAGCCACCTGGATTTTTTTTTATTTGTTAAAGTTTGACATTTCCAAGGCCACCTATGTTGACATTTGACAGCTATATGCTTTTCAGATATTATTGGCGTAGCATTATCCATGGAAATTTGACAGGTTGACCCTCGTATAATAATGACATTTGATGACAAAGTATTTTTTAAATTTCAGGGTTATAAAACAGAAAGCCGAGTTGCCAGAATGTGTAAAATATCTGAGTAGATTCAATTCCAAAATATTTTTCCAAATTAATTTTTTTAAAAAATGGGTGCTTAGTAAAATTATTTAATTTATTTGAAATAAAATAAATCCAACATAAAGCCGTTTTACACGGCAAAGTTTCTTTACGAAATTACTTACGAAAGTCAACTTTTCCTGTTTCACACGACAAGAAAAACTATTTATATATATAATATTTCGCCAATAAACTTTAGAAAATGTTCTATAGTTTTTGTGGGCGCGGCCGAGAAAATGCGTGAGTTTCGGCGTACACAATTACAAAATAAAAAGTGGCATTCTTTTCCTTCGAGCCTTATGAATCCGTCATTGGATTTCCTATGTAATAGATAAAGATAGACTGCTTATCGGTGGGTCAACCGTTGAAAAAAGTGTTGCGCCCAAAAAAATAGGGTGGGAGGAAGAGTACCAGCTGGGCAAAGCCAAAAGTAAACAAAACCTTATTTATGGAAGGAACACAGAAATTCAACTTTATGAAACTGTAGAAGAGTAAAAAGATTCAACAACAATTAGAAATCGCAAGTTTTATTTGTTTTGGTTTACCAAAGTATGAGGTTATGATTTGATATTATTGATGGCAAAACGTTACTGCGTCTGCGTATAACTAATATTTTCACGAAACTTTTGCTAAATTTTATTTGCCGTGTCAAAAAGGTAAAAAGCGAAACAAGAATAGTAAACTTACGCAATGTTTCGGCAATAATTTCGTGAATAATTTCGTAAAGAAACTTTGCCATGTAAAACGGCTCATAACCATAACAATAAGCTTAACAGCATAAATTTGTTTTCGCAGTAACTTTTCTTTCGGGGTCTATATTATTTAAACCACTGGCGTAGCCAGGGGGGGGGCAAGGGGGCATTTGCCCCCCCCAAGACCCTTACATTTTATGAATATTTCTTCAAAATTAAGATAAACAGTCCCAAAAATAGCGTAAAGAAACCTGAAAAAGGGGCGTGGCACCCAAAAATTTCGCGCCTGCGGCGCTAAGCCTCCGGCAGCGGTCGCGGTAGGGCCGCAAAAGACGCTTCCTGCAAATTTGCCCCCCCCAAGACAAAATCCTGGCTACGCCACTGATTTAAACCATACCTATCCCAAATATATCTGGTAGTTGGGCTTCAATTATTATTCCCTGAAGACCCTCTGGTTTGCTTTTCTCGAAACAGCCGTAAAATTTTATAATTTCCTATTTCCCTCATTTTCTCTTGAGATGTTATTTTGAGCATCTTAATATGAAATAAATTTGACAATGCCGAATTTTGAAAAATGTCAATGGATTTTGCAGGTATGCAGAATAGTAAGGTAGCGTTTATATTAGGCAATTCAATCCATCTGTCAGATAGGAAAATTCAATATGGCGTGGCGACCAAGCAAGTTTGTTTTGAATGTGTTTTTATGCGCATTTCAAATTATTTTGCTTAGAGTTTTGCTCGCAACTTTGATTTGGATTATTTAATAAAATATTTGTTGACTAGGTACCTAAACTAATAAATCGGGCAGAATCTAGATATTTTTTTGTGGTTTTTGGCCCATGTGTGGCCGCCACGCCATCTTGAAAGTCACGTGGTTTGAATTGCCTAATATTGCACTATATGGCATGTCCATGTGACGTCACAAATGAGTTTGACAGTCGCCCTGAGGTAAAACAAATCATTTATTTACATTCGTTTAGATTATGCCGGTTATGTTTTATGCGGTTTTCACAGCTTTTTTACAATTTTTGGTGTTATTTTGTTCTAAAAAAGTTAGAGTGGAGTGTTTGTGTTCCAGTCTATGTGGTCTTTTATCTAAAAGTTTGCTAGGTCTTCCTATAATGGATTAAATTCAGGTTTTTTCCAATAAATGTGAAAACCAAGTGTCACAAGAACAAATATATAAGTATAGTTACTCTATATTCAATCTATTTTTCTGTCAGATCTTCTCTTTCAAGAACATTTATCAATTTTTCTCTTCTTTCTTGAGCTAACAAATCAAACCTCCCATTGTTATTTAAAATTGATGGAAACCTATGGAAGGATATTGTATTCCTTGCGCTATACTGTCACAATTAATAACTAAACAAACTCTAGGCATGTCCAAGAAACTTTTGGATCACACAAAAAGGTATTTATTTAAAAAAATCACTGTAAATATATCTTTGTTTTACCTCAAGGCGACTGTCAATAGTGTCAAACTGTCAGATCATGTACTTGCCCTATTGAAAAATTTATTGACAAATGTGTCAAATTTGATTGGCCAGATAGATAGGCCAGAGAATTTTAATACTGCGACATTTACGAAATTATGTGAAACACACTTAAAACTGTCTGGAATAGGGTACTTGCATGGAAAATTAAATTGATTATTGTTTATTGCAAACTGTAGGAAATCGACAAAAAATTGATGCGTGTTTTTTTATTTTGTCCAAATATGATTATTTCGAAAGTTATACAAATATTGAGTTTTGTATACCGGGTGTTTTTCAGAACCCGCTCACCCCTATAACTTTTTTATTTTTCCAAATAAACAAATGAAATTTGGTGTGTTCATTTCATTGGTTCATTTATGACCCGGATGTGCAATATTTGACGTATTCATTTTTTTATTATCACTTACGGTTTGACCGGAAGTGACCATAACTTTCTTATTTTAAATGAGACGCAGGGTATATTTTCCATTATTTCAATAGAAAACTACATTACGAGTACAATGACACCTCATTTGTCACTTTTTGACATTTTATCTCCAAATTATTTAAATTTTTACTTTTTAATCTAGAGCGTCATGAACGGGTTAAAATGCTCAATTCTGCTCCAAGGAACATGGGAAAATTTGTTTTGATCTTATTTTGTATTTTATATCCTCAACAGACTCATTTAAAGATAGTAGAAGCGCATTTTTGGGATTATATCATTTTCTTCAAATGGAAAGGGTATGGCTCATTAGCATATTCCGAGAGAGCATTTTCTAACGAACAATTTAGTACCACACAATCGCTAGTTTATTCAAATATTGAACTAAAATTTTCCAAAAATATTTAGAATGCTAGGAAAATTCTTCATTTGAGTGATGAACTAGCGATTGTGTGGTACTGAATTGCTCGTTAGA